TTAATATACAGTTATAAATATTATTTATTTTATTTTTTTAAATATAATTTGTATATTGTAAATTTCGTTATAAGTGCCTAGAACTAACGTGTGTTCAAACTAATTTTAAGTTTATTAAAATATAATGCATAGTGTATATATTATTATAATATGTTATTGTTTATCTTTGTACATTTTAGGATATAACCACAACATTTTTTCACAGTTTTAATATATTAGTTAATAATTTTAAAATACAATAAAAGAAAAACACAGATTAATGATCCTTTATAGTTATTACTTGCTGAATAGGTAGGTACTAGGTAATGAGTATCAATATAATAACACACTATATTTAAATACTACTAATCATTCAAACCATCAGTTTAGTTTATCAATAATTTATTTTCATTAATTCAAATCTTATTGTTAAGTATTAAATTAATAAATGTTAAATTATCAACTACAAATAGTTGGCTTACACATCAACCTTATTAAAATTATAAAACAATAATAATAGTAAGTTATAATACATTTATTAGATACAAACAAAATTAAATATATTACTAATGTTAGTACCTATTATTATACGTTATTAAATCAAATAGGTATTTAATTAAAACTAATGAATGTTTTCGTAATCACTTACTATGTAATATCTGATAAGATAATAATATTCCATAGTTATTTATTTACTAATTATCTACAGTAAGCATTTAGTACGATTTCAACTTTACCGTAAAATTTTAAAAATTTGTGACTTGCAAATAAATATATTATTATTTATTATTTTAATATTATTAATTGTTAAATTATTCAATAAATAAAATACTATTATTATTAATCATATGCAGTAGCCAGTAAGTACCTAATTTGTGTACAACTATAGTACCTAGGTTCTTTTTCATTATTAATTATTTTAATCATGAAAGGTTATTTTTTTTAATTTTATACGCGATACTGTATTTTATAAACACTGTTCGTTGATATTTTTATTTTTTTTTTCTATTGCAATGTAATTAAATTTTAATGAACAATTTGCTTAATAATAAATATCTAAAATAATATTATAGTTAGGTATTCAACTTTAAGTACTAAAAACATAAAAATTTAAATAAAATATTAAGTCTAAATTAACATAAAGACATGCATATACATATGATATTAATCAAATATCAGTTAATATTAAAAGACACGTTTCCTTGTTATATCAGTTATAATCACCAAAAACAAAAGAACAGAGTTCATCTTCCTTAACTGGCACAACAATATCTTTAAAGTTCGATATTCCTTTACATTCGTCAAAAATCAAAGCAAAGTTCTGCACGCATATTTGTCTTGATTAATTAAAACAATTGTAATGACTACAACATAATCATCAATTTAAAATTAAGTAATAATATACCTATACTACTATAAATAAAAAAATTATAATACAATGTTTAATTTAAGAAAAATTATTTTTATACAGACATCAAAAATTTATATATTCTGTGAAATATAAAAAATATTAAATTTCACAATTAATTATATATATTATATTTTACCTATATTCCTTACCCATATAAATATATCATAAGACATAAGTTAATTGATACTTATGTTATTAACATGTAGATTTAAGAAAATATTAAATAGATATATGGTTATGATTCTAGGTCCTAGCTATTATGATTGATAGAAAATAACTGACATTCGTTTTTTTTTTACTTTTCATTTAAAGATATTCAATTAAAATTAAAAAATTCTTCTAGTAATTGATCATGGTGGATAAACTTCACGAGTACCAAGGTCCGATTGGTATTTTACATACCTGGAGGGATTCATTAAAAGATAATTGGGAGGAATGGAAGGAAAAACGTCCTCGATCTCTTTTGGAACTCTTACAATCGTTTGGTCTAGCTGAACGTCCAGAAAACCAAAAAGAGGACGAAAGTCCACCAGAAATTGATATGGAACAGTATTCTCATATATTTAGGTAAATCCAATAATACTCATAGATATTCATGAGAAAAGTACTGATTATTTTAATTTGAAGATAAAAATCAAATAATTTAGTACTTTTAACTTATAATATTCAAATAATTTTAACCACGTGTTATAGAAAAAAAACTAGAAGTGAACTAGTACGCATATCTGCTGCCGTGATGGGAATAGAATTTTCGTATGCAGCAGAAACAGCATTTGTATCTCCAACACTATTGAATATTGGAGTCGACCATCAACATATGACTCTTGTATGGGCTGTATCTCCTTGCATTGGATTTTTTGTTACTCCCATATTAGGATCTTTAAGTGACAGATGCACACTTCCGTTGGGCCGACGCAGACCATTTCTGATAATGCTAGCTTGTGGAGTATTTTTAGGTAAGCTAAAAAAACAAAATATTTCTCATATACCTAATCTCTGAATAAATATATTTTTATATATTTTATAGGTCTAATATTGGTACCAAATGGAAAATTATTGGGATACTGGGTGGAAGGCGATTTAACATCAGGAAACAATTTCTGGGCAATATTTTTTACAGTAATAGGTACAGTACTATTAGATTTCGATGCAGACGCTTGTCAAAGCCCAGCGAGGGCTTATCTTTTAGACATTTGCGTACCAGGTAATTTTAGGTAAAAATAAATATATCAAAATAACTCAAATATTATAAAATATTCACAGAGGATCATGCCAAAGGTCTAAGCACGTTCACGATAATGGCCGGTCTAGGAGGATGTATCGGTTATCTTTTAGGTGGAATTGATTGGGACTCATTAAAATTTGGTAAAAACACCTTTTATTGATTAAAACTTGAGTTCTTGAAAAACTTCATACATATTTAGGAGAATTGATGGGAGGTCACGTAAGAGCAGTGTTCACGTTAGTCACTTTTCTTTTTATTGGTTGCGTCAGTTATACTGTAACCAGTTTCAAAGAGATGCCATTAAAAATATTACAATCAAATCAAACAAGAATATTAATCACTGGGGCTAATGAAGTTAGCAAAATAAATAATTCCAGAAAAAACTGAATTAAATCATAATGAACATTTTATAGGATTTGGATATAGAAAATAAACTTACTGAAAACACACCGAAATCATATGGAACTTTAAAAAATACTGTTGATGAAGTTGAAATTGAGAATAACGAATCACGTCTTATACCCGTAAGCTTACTAATAATTATTAGTTATTAGTACTTATTACTAATCACAAGTCTTTGTTGTATTAACTACTTATTAAAATAATATAATTTTTTTTTCACCGTGACATCTTTTACAGGAACAAGCAACGTTTGCCCACTACTTGAAGACTATAATCGTTATGCCAAAATCTATTAAATTATTGTGTCTAACAAATTTGTTCTGTTGGATGGCCCACGTTTGTTATTCGTTATACTTCACGGATTATGTCGGTGAAGCAGTGTTCGGAGGGGATCCTACGGTAGGTTTATAATAAAAATAAAAGATGTACAAGCCACATTAATTTACTGATAACACATTATTTATAATAGTAGAAAATATTACTAAAAATTATATTTAGGCTTTAATAGGAACCAAAGAGAAAATACTTTACGAACAAGGTGTGCGATTTGGATCGATCGGTATGGCAATGTACTCGTTGTCGTGTGCCTGTTATTCGAGTGTAATTGAAAAACTCATAAAGCGATTAGGGTAAGTATTAAAACAACTATACACGATTCCTACTACGAGTTTATATTGTTTTGACAGAAATGTTTATTGGACAGGGCCAAACGGGTGTACGTGGGAGGTCTGCTGTTTTATTCTACTGGTATGTTTTTAATGGCCATCACACGACACAAGTTCAGCGTAATATTTTTCTCTTGGGCGGCTGGTGTAATGTACTCTACGATGTTCACAATGCCGTATTTACTTATCGCCCATTATCACTCAACCAACACGGTACCTAATATTAGATTATCTTACGCTCTAAACTGAGATTTTCAATTCAAATTAAATTTGTTTTTCCAAGTTTGCTGACAATGTCAGTGGTCAAGAGCCGGATGATCAAATCAGAGGTTTAGGTACAGATGTAGCTGTGGTCAGTTCCATGGTGTTCGTGGCTCAGTTCATTTTGTCCATGTGTATGGGAACAATTGTCAGCATATCCGGGACAACTTCCGCTGTCGTTTACACTGCATCGTTTTTAGCGTTCTGTGCCTCAATAATCGCTACGCAAGTCGTCTATTTAGATCTATAAAAAACGAGGACATCAGATTCCCATAAAAATGTGTTAACATATTCAATTTAAAACCAATATTTTTCTCACTCATCACACACTTTGCTTCATTAATATTTAACCAAACGTATAATATTATCAACAAAATAATCATTTTTATTCATTTTATATACCGTACATAAATTTAAATTGATAAAATTACTTAAAAGTAATATTGAAAATCCATAACTACTGATATTATTGTTTATAAATTGTATTTTTAAAATTAATATCCCTAAATGCATAACTCGTAAAATATAACCTACTATATATTAAAAAAATAAAATTAAAAATGAAGATTAATTATATTTGATGTTAATTTTATTGAATAAGTTCAAGACTTTCATTTAAAAAGGTTGTTGCCATTACTTCTCTCACATTTAATAATTTTTTAGACTTTCGTGTTTAAAATTAATTAATGATCGATTTTTATTAGTAACTTAAATGAAGTATTTACTATTTTATACAATATTTGAGATAAGAACTATCTATTTAGTATTTCCTAAAGTATGACTAAATTTCATACATTTATTTAGTTTATAATAAACTATATTATTTTATTCGCCATTTTTATTTGATTCAAATGCGATGAATTATTTTTTTTTTAAACCAATACATATTTATTACAATTTGTATGCTAAATATCTACATTAATCGTATTAGTTTTAATCTTTGAATTTTTTATCATTGGTGGTATACAAATTTTAAATAAATACTTAATGATGTAATGATTGCATTATTATATTTATTAAATAAACCAAAAACATGAAGTATCCATAAAACATATAGCTAATTAACTAAGAAAATCTACATAAACGTTCTTTTCACATATAGTACTCTCAATTTTCATTATGTGTGACATATTCGAACATTATTATACTTATATGGTTATATGCGTTCTTAAATTAGAACGCATCAAAATTTATGGTCTAAATAACTATAAAAACTACTTAAAATCGTATTATTTTACGCACGTAGTTAAAGTTTTCCAGTTGTTAGACACTTATAGTGTTAACATTGTCTTAGATGTATTCAAACTGGGCAGTCGGTTTTAAAATGATCGTCATAATGTACATTGCATTAGCAACTTGCTTATCTTACAATCATGCAAATGAAATTTTCCCCGAAGCTTTGGTGTTTGAAGGATTAGGCTTATCGGATATAATCAATAATACGAAATCTAGTGAAAATCGTAACAATACTATAATAATTGCTGGAGATTTAAATGATGCTTTAACTACCATGAATTTTCACAGGTATGATTTTTATTTAATATTAATTATTAATCAAATAATAAATATACTTCTATATACCTAACTTACAAAAATCGTGTATTGTAATCATGAAATAACTGCGTGAAATCGTGTTTGAAACATCAAATTAAGTTAGAACTATTTAAATTTTTTTTTAATTTTTAGATTTACCTAAAGCATTTCATAATGTTCAATGAAATACACAAAAATATTTTTTGATATTTAATATCCATTTAACAATATAACAGACTTACAAATAAATTAAAATTATTACAAAATGGCATTGGTAAACAAATTATTTTTAAATGCCATTATATTTATTGTTAGGTCAAATAACTAAATAAGTTTGTTATTTAAACCAGGATAAAAACTATTATAATGCAAGTGCAAGATTATTTTATTACCAGCACAAAATTAAATAGATAGCTTATCGTGAAGTAGCCTGATTTCAATATTAAAATAAGAATGCAAGTTTTTCAAAAATAAAATCGTATTAGTTATAATATGAGTAATATTTAATACATACATATTTTAATACTGTATTAGATATTATACAATTTGTTTTATTATCATGAAAGGTAATAGAATCGAGTACATATTATACAATATATAGTAGTAATAGATGTACACAAAAATAATAAAATATTGCTATTGGATAAAATTAAATGTTTTGTAAAACATACAAAATAAGATACAGTACAAGATTGATTAAGAGAATTTGGTGTCTAATATTAGTACCTAATTAATATTACTTCCAAGTATTTTTAAATTAAAATAGATATTTTCAAAAAATGAGGAAGTAACATTAAAAAAAAAAAAACCATTATTGTTATTAATATTATACCTACAAATTATGCTAAAAATAATGTAAAGTATCAGCTTACATTGATCTTTGATGTTAAATTAGTACTTTAATAACACGTTTCAGATCAAATTGTATATGATAAAAATTTGGCTATACCTTCAAACTGAATAAACGTGAACCAAAATTTGTTCTTAAACCCTTTTATACATAATAATTAATTAATTGATACTTGATCAATATTTAACAATTTCTTCCAGAAAAAACATAAATGACTATCTCTGTCGGCAATACATAGTTGAAGAAATATTAAAAGATATTACAGACAGTACGTCGTTTGAAGGCCGATCGATGTCCCTAGACAGCCGTGGAACAAGTAAAACATCATTGATGCAAACAGATCAAGGCTCATCTGCTTACAATGCATGGCTTATCAAGTATACATATAAAATAAACTTAAACTATATAATTGTAAAATAGATTAAAATATGTCTTTTACATTAAATTTTAGAACAAAACTATTAAAAAGAATTTATGACGAATATGATTTAAACGTTAGAATGCGCGAAAAACCCGTTGGATTCACACTAACAAATAAAAATAATGAAAGTAATTATACATACAGTTTTAAATAGCAAAGCATTACATTTTATTTTTCAAGGCTTAGGAACACGTGACTATGAAACCATGAAAAACGTAGATGAAGTAAAAGATTTGAAAAATTCTTATCACCCAAACGAAGGTAAATTACAGTAAAGTGTAAATATAACAACGTAATGTTGATTATACTCGTATAATACCTATGTATAAATAATTAAAATGTTCATTATTGCTTATTGATTCAAAAATAAAATAAAGTTAAATTTATCATTATAAAGTTGGTTTCAGTAACACGTTTTATATAATCTAAAAACGAATTTATTCTGTTTAATAAAATAATAATATATACCTAATTAATAAGTACCTTGATGACTAGATCGATATCAGATCAAATACATTGATATTAGTTTAAATATTATACCCATTTCTAATAAAGTAAGTAATACCAACAAAAAACACGTGTGTAACTCGTACAAGACACTAAAATTGAATATAAACACTAAAACACCACACGAAATTACGTTGTACAAATACACAATATTTAATCAGTCAATTAATAATAAATATTTATAAATGTTATCAAATGAAAATGTATTTATTCATTAGTGAATAAAATATTTCTTTTGGTTTAGATTCATTTTCTAGCCCCAGTGATACAGTCAGTGTGGATTTTACACAAAGTCAATCTGTAGAATACGATATTGATGACGATAAAAAGTACAAAAAACCAAACCAAACATACCATGGTCTTCCCGATTTCAACCCTACACAATCTACCCATCTACCTCCATCAGCATATGAACCCTCTTTTCCTTTATCAACACATGGACTACCATTACTTCCAGCTAATTATGGACCCTCGACGTTTTTAAATGAAACGCCTTCATACCCATCGGATTATGAAATGCCACCGTTGTCATCATATGGACTACCTCCATCTTCTCATCATAAACTACCTCCGTCATCACACGAATCACCGCCGTCATCATCATATGGATCACCTGCATCATCAAACGGTCACTCTTTTTTACCTCAATTAAATTACCGTTCACAAAATTATCCTTATCCCGGATTGATTCCCCCAACTGAAAATCCAGGTGAATACTAGATATCAGTATTATACCTACACTTGTAATTTTGTACCTACCTAATATATTTATTAACACTAAAAACAGTTAAAAGTTAAAAATCATTCTGAAGTTAACAAGTAATCAAAAGTATTCACAGTAAGTGTCTATTATGCAGAATACAAATGGATACAACAAGTTTATAACTTTATTAATATTTAATAGGTACCAGGTATACCTACCACCAATTATAATTTATAACTAGGTATCGAATGCGCCAAAATGATGAAGTAATTTTTCATTGTATCATAAATATGTTAAACGTGGTGTAATCAATGTATCTATTATAAACTATACACAGAATTTTTAACGCTTACCCTTATTAGGTATAGAAAATACTATTAGCTAATAAATATTTGTAAACAAAAAATATCATAAGCTGTTCTTTTTTTTTATGTTAAGAGAAATTGTAAAAAGTTATAGATGTGACGAGGATTTCTAAGATTATATTTTCGTATTTTTAGCACCTTGCAAACCCGATTACCGATTATATTAATAATTATCCGCATCAAATAATAGCAAAATATATTAAAATTAATTTAAAAAAATAATTGTACATTGTCTATATAACTACATTTTTTATATACCTAAATACATATCGTACATGTACACAAATAAAAATATAAATTGCGTCGTTTTAATAAAGGTCCCGATCTTACGACCCGAAATATCAAAACATTTAGTCAATTGGAAGACGAGGTACATACTTTTGATAAAGAACCAAGACGAGGACTTACAGCAACGGATATGTACGATCTAACTTTAACAGCTATTGCGTTCTTGGGGTTCGGTACATTTATCATGAATCTAGTCATGGACGCTATGACGGTAAGTGAATTAAGAGTATAAATTATATAATATAACAGAATGTTATTTAGGTACATGATAAGCATTTGACAAACCTCAGTTGAAATTTCTCTTGATCATTTCAGGTACAATCGGGAGGAACGCTTACGATAAATTCATCACCATTACACGGTGCCACAGTGTCCAGAACTAAAAGACACGACAACCCCGTATTTTGGGAAATAAACGAGTTGTCATGGACCATAGTATCGACAATTGACAACACGATTGCCAACGTAGACGGGTCCTTTGTGAATTGCAAAGAAGTCAAAGCACTATGCCAAACATCTAAAAAATTAATAAAAACTGGTACAAATTTCAGTTCAAAATTATTACCCGTTTGGAAGTAAGTTTAAATTTAAAGTAGATTACAATATTAAAGTTTTGACTGATGTTTAAAATCAAAGAAAAAAAATATTCTAGTAATGAAAAACATCATTGACAATTTAAAAACTATGTAGTAAATACAAATGAATTTTCATTTTTCAAACTTAATCATTGTTTCAAACATTGTCAGAGTATAGGTACAAAATTATTTTTCATCTTCTTTATATTTAGCGATTACTACATAGGTGTACTAAATATTATAACAGAAATCTTAAAAAACTAATTTTGTATAGAAAGTAGTTGATGGGCCTATAAGAAAATCAAGATTTTCTTGGTATGTCCTAGTCAAAATCTTATAATAATGTAAAAATATTTTTTTATTTTCAGTGTTGCTTTAGGATGGCTTTCAAATAAATTAGGTACAGATAAAAGCCAGCCAGTGATATCTGCATTATTAGGTCATTGTATTTTACCTTCACAGTGTCAAACAAATGCATAATTTTTTCATCTAAGTGATTAATACAATTTATAAATACATATATCAATTTATTGATCTATTTTTATTTTTATTATTCTATACCAGTGTCATGTAAACAATTTTTTAATAACTTACTCCAATGTTCTTATTTCAATACAATATTGTAAGTACAAACTACAAAAAGATAGTTTGTAATAACGTTTCTTTAAAATTTAGTAAATCAAATTATAAATTTGTTTATATATATCATACTTTAAATTACACATTTACATCATAAGCAATAAGTTATTATTTTTAGTTTAAATAAGATTTAAAAACTTTTTTCTAAGTATACCTATTGTACATATTAAACAATGATGTAAAACTTTTTAAATTTATAGCACTTTTAAAAATTAAGTTTTTAGTATTCTAAAGTTTCTTAGAATAAGCTTAGACATGAAGAAAAACTACCAGCCAGAAACAATTAAATAAAACTTTCAAAGGAATCCTTTTATTAATAGTTTTGAAAAAAAAATTAGCTTTTATAGTTTTTACAAATTTTTGTCCTGAGATGTATTTTTAAATATAATAATAATTTATTATTGCATTCAAATTTAATAATGCTAATTTTTCCTCAATTTTCATTTATTGCAATTTACTTGATCATATATTTTTTAATTATGTAAATTGAAATTAAGTTTTATTAAGTTATTTAGGTAACATACGTATTGATACACCACACATTATATAAGTATAATACAACTTAAAAATACAATAAGTTAAATAAATTACAAAGAATCACATAAAAATTTAGAATGATGATGAAAATGTTGTTCCATAAAACTTGAAATAAAATAAAAACCATGGTCATATCCTTCTTCTAAATTTATTGAAACTGCAATTCTTGCTTTTTTACAAGCACTTGCAAAATTTTCTAATTTTAAATCTTCTTCATGTTCATCATTTTTTCCCTGAATGAAAAAAAAATGTAGATAATATATTATTTAGTATTAAAACTATTCGTACATTACACATTATGTTTATACCATTAAAATTCTTTAAATTCTAAATTCAAAATTATTTAAATTTTAAATACATTATTATAAAACTTTACTTGATGTATGAGAATATTTAATTCTGGTCCTTTATAATTAGTTACTAAGCAGGTAGCATCCCATTCTTCCAAAGTTTTTGAATCATCCCCAAAATAACACTTTAGTAGGTATCGTTCATCAGGTGATACAGATGGGTTACAAACTGGAGCAAAAGCTGATACTGAACGATACTTGCCAGGGTTTTTTAATGCACTTATTAATGCACCATGACCTCCCATACTGAAATATCATTATTTAATACAGTGCAATATATATATAAATATTTAATAAAATACTAATCTTTAAATTTAAAATATAACATCAATACCAATATCTGACAATTATCAGATGGTTTAGACAATACAATAATAATAATATACATCTAATTTTTTTTTATTACTATAATATATAATACATAAAAAATTTATTTAATACTTATAAATATACCTGTGACCCATGATTGACTGCCTGTCTTTGTTGACATTAAAGTTCTCCTGAATAATACTTGGTAGCTCTTCATTCACATATGAATACATTTGGTAATGCTTGTTCCACGGTTTTTTAACAGCGTTTACATAAAATGATAAGCCTTTAGCTTCAATTTCATTCTTTTCATCACCAAAAGTAACCCCTGAAAATACAATTTAATGTTTGTGGCAAAAGTTAAATTATTACAATAAATTAGATAGGTATCCTTACTTGGACAAATATCTGGTGATACAACAATTATTCCATAATGTGATGCCCATCGTTGAAACCCTGCCTTTTGTATAAAAGTTTGTTCAGAACATAACATACCACTCAAATGATATAAGACTGGAGCAGGTCCTTCCAAATTGTCCGGTATGTATACAGAAAATTTCATATGGTAATTAAGTACAGCACTAAAAATAATAAAAGCACATTACGATTAATAAAAGTATGAAACAATTATATAAATAATAAGATTGTTGAAAATATTTACTGATAAAAATAAATCAAAGTAAGAACTAATACCTGAGGATTAGTAGAAGTAAAAATAGAGGAAATTGTGCATCTATAATATGCAAAGAAATGCAAAGCAAGCAATAAAGCGATTAAATCTGTGAAGTAAAAAGTTCAAGTAGGTTCTTAGAATCGGCAGTACAAAAAAATAAAGGTTTTAAAAAAGACATCAAAAATAGAATAATGTGAATCGCATATTTTTTCCTTTCACTTTTTTGGATTTTTATTAGTTATCTTTATGAATCATTATAATATAATTTGAATCTAATAGTGAATTTTTTTTACATATTTTTGCATATTTTTACAAAATTTGAAATATATTACATATTAAAGCGAAAATATTTCAAAATAGTAATTAATTATTATAAGTTATTTGATTTATGAATTTTTCTTGCATATTTGTTGCATATGATTTTTACTGCATAATATATATTGCAAATTTTAATACTTTTTAGTGCATATAAATCCGTGCTCTAATAATAACTAGAATGTCTAGAAAAATAATTTTTATGCTTAAAAAATTCAAGTTATTTTGAAAAATATTAAGGATTTCAATTTTTACCTCTCCTAAGTACTAATATACATAATTTTCTATTTGAAACCACCCTCAAAGTTAAAAATCAAAGTATTATTTAAACTTCTTATCGTGTACGTTATACCTACAAAGAAAGAAAAACACATCATTGTAAAATAATACATTCATCAGAATTTAACAACAGTTAATACTTAAAATGTTCACTCAATATTTATATTATCTTATATAATTCTATATACTAACAATAAACTTTTTTAAATATTTTGAATTTTTTTAAGCTATTTTTATAAAAATTTATAAATTTTAAATTTTTTTCATAACTGTTGATAAATATAAAATTCGCAAGACAAAAATACTTAAACATTTAATACAAAGTTTTGTATAAATTATTCATTAACCAATCAAACAATTTATAGTTAACAGTCCCAATATTTTTTGAGTTTTAATTTTGATCAAATGAGTAATTTTTTAAGACTTTTGGAGGAGATATTAGGTATAGAATGTAATGGTTTTATGTTACTATTTGTAAATACCTATATAGTATCAACAAAAATCGCAATAAATCGAGTCAATTTTTTCAGTAATTTGTCAAGTGTTTGAGATTCAAGTGTTATATAATTAAGTTTCGTAAAAATTATGCATTAAAAATTTACTTATCATAAAGTCGTAAGTTAATAAATATTAATATTTTTTTTCGTTGAATTATTATTTTTCAGCGTAATGAAGTACACTTATACCTATAAAGACTAAAAGAACAATATTATTCTTCTTATTTAATAGTTTCAATAAAATCTAATCTAATTTTTATACTAAGAACCGTTTCACAACCACGCGTGTTTTCAGTTTACATTTGAGTTTATACAAGTATCTAGTTTTATATTATTCGTCACTAAATTACTCAATTTACTCTCAGTCTATGAATACGAAAATTTAACGATCAATACTTTTTGATTAATGCGTTTTTTTTATAATTTAACAAAAGTAGAATACATTTTGACTGTTAGTCCATTTATTCACAAAAAATCATGATACATTGAATATAAATGGCTATTTATACATTATAATAGATAATTCATAACATCAACGTAAAATAGATGATAACTTAGTGTTTTATTGGATTTGTCGATGTAGAGCATGAATACAATTCTTATCAAAGACAATATTTTAGTTATTTTAAATTATAATTGTAACCTATTTGGACAGTTATTAAAAATTATTTAATTTAAGATTTTTCACATATTTATCCATGGAGTTAAAAAGAGCAGAAGGAAACTGAAGTCAACATAGAACGCCTAAAAACAATTTCAACGTCCATTAAAAAAAAAAAATAAAGATCATAATATCAAATTGTAAAAATATGTAGCATTCACAGAGTAATTTTAAGTAATGATATAGTAGCATTAGATTAGATTAAAACTTTAGTTTAAAGATTCAATTTTAAAATTTTAAGTATTTTATTAGTTACTTTTTTCCTCTATTTTAAAACAAACATTTAAATTCATAATACAATAATATTTATACTTGATCAAATTTTTTATTTACTATTTATTTTATGTGCCAATGACATGAGATTTATGAGAAATAACTTTTATAAGAAATTACTTTTATAGTATAGATTTTATAACAATTCATATTACGATATCAGAGCTTACGAGTTATATGACTTTCTAACACTAGACCTAAATTCAATTTTTTATACTTATTTTATGCATGATAATGATTTATTAATAAACACTTTTTGCTAAAAAGTATCAATGGGTATTTTTGAAAATTATTAAAAAAAATATTGTTTTACAATAATTATCATTTTCATTTTTAAAGAATTATTAATATATATATGTGTGTTCAGTGTGCGATGTTTTATTCTCACAATATCAATATTATAATAATAATATATATATATATATATTATTATTATAATATTTATACCACAATGATGTCTTTCAAAAAACGCCTTTTAAATATAATTTTTCAACATCTCCTAGTTTTTATAAATAAAATTTTCTAAAAATATCTATCTTACATCTATCTAGTACAGTGGTTTTCAACCGGTGGGTCGCGACCCATTTTTGGGTCGCAACAGTTTTTTTTTAAATAAAAATTAGATTTATAAAATTATATGAAGGTAAAAAAATAATAATATTATTATATTATACCTAGTCATAATGGATATCAAGTATAATGTTTCATGTTACACTGGTATGATTCTACATAAGCAATTTGTTCTTTTTTATCAGGCTTACGTGGGTCGCGAAAAATAAAGGCCTAATAGAGTGGGTCGCGAGTCCAAAAAAGTTGAAGACCACTGATCTATAGACGTTATCATTCAATATAATACGATACCGGTCATAATAATGTATATAAATGTGTATAAATGTGTATAAATAACGATATACCTATTCATCATCAATCATTATACATTTATACGTCCTTATAATAATAATACATTTTAATTAACCAAAAATAGAAATAAAAGAGAAATAAAATCTAAGCAACTTTTCAAAACATTTCTTTCCAAATTCTACTCAAACCAGAACCCATTAATCTCTCGTATGTCATCGATTACCATTCCTAACAACCCACCAAGAAGACTTAAAAACAAATGACCAAGAGACGCCTTATATAAATAAATAATAAAAAATACCGTTTAAATGAATTCAATTTTACAGTTAAATAGAGATATATTTTTTATTATTATATGGTGTAAACTACTGCGAAATTATGTACTGATTTACATTATGATAGTATACGTAAAACTCAATATTAAATTTTCAGGATTAATGAAGACATTTTTTTTTTGTGTGTGAAAAATCACTAAAATTTTAAGTCATTATAGAGAGACTCATAAAATTTAAATTATATCGGAAACATAAAACTAAAAATTTGTCTAAATAAAAATACATTTATCTAAATAAACGTATAATATAACTACCTTTTTTACACATTGTATTTTTTTTTTTTTTTTTTTTATAGGTTTATAATAACATACAGAGTAACTGCGTACTATTTATGATAACAATGCATAAAATCATATACATACAACAATGCATATTATATTTTAATATAAATGTATTAAGAAAAAAGATCATTAATTTGTATTATTTCAGTATCTCATACAAGAAAAAAATAGTTCTGAATAAATCTTGTAAAATACCTATGTATCCACTGATACTATGTAACTAATCACATTAAATTAATTATTAAAGGTGTGTTTACCTTAAATATTTAAAACACTAAATAATACACAATCAATAGTTATAATAGTAGCCAAGTCTAAATTAATTTAATTTTGGTCTACTTTTAAAATAAATGGGGCAATATATAATTACTTATTATTTAATTATGGGTTGTAGAGTACACGACGCACGTTTGTTATCGTTATATTGTACATACTTGACAAATTTATTTATTTTTTTATTTCAAAAAAGTAATATACAATCTGTATCAGTTAACAAAATCAGCATAATATATAGACTAAGAGTTAAAAAAAAACATGAGTATTGTTTAATGAAAGAAGCCACCCAACGGTGATAACTAGGGCTCGGAAGTTGATGCATTTTGCATTTTTTTTTTTTTTTTTTTGGAACTTTTTAGACGATGCTCTCCTGGCCACAAATCTGTTTCATAAGCATGTGAATCTAAATAACTAATTATTATTTTGCATTTTTTGGTGTTTATTACTTTTTAAGTCATTTTTTGAGATTTTTAGGTCATTTTCCCACATTTTTAGTTATTTTTACTGATTTCACACTAGTTCATTTCTTATCGTTTTTTGTTGACCATTATGCCGATAACTTAAACCACAGACATTTATAAAACAAATATTTTTAATTTTTTAATTTTCCTATTTTAAGGACATTTTTGTCATATTTTGAATAAAGTAAAATAGAGTAAAATATTTAAAAAAAAATGCATTTTTATTAATATTTGTAATTTTTTTAGGTCATTTTCTTAGGACATTTTTTGCCTTTTTTATTGTTTTTAAGGTCATCAACTTCCGAGCCCTAGTGATAACAGATAATAATAACCAGTGTCGGCTCGTGCCTAGGTGTGCAATTGTGCAAGTCTGCACACATCACATAAATTAATTTAAAAAAATTTATGCTCGTTTATATACCCGAAAATATTACTCCTACAATTTATTGAAGTTATGTAATAAATACACATAATTTGGTGTGCAGCTCAGTCAGAGCACCGTTTATCTGTGTAAATTGATTAGGCCATTGAGTGGGGATTGACGAAAATTAATGGGACCGTGGTGTGCAGCAATGCAGCAACTGCTACACACGCTGTAGCCACAGCGTTCCACATTGGTTATTTTTTTGTAGAGAAAAGACTTGAATTCATGAATAAAAATGTTTATTTTTTTTTTTTTTTTTGTCAATTAATACAATTTTTAGTAAGTTACAATTTACGCATATTATTAAGTATTATATTAGTAGATATATAATAATATTTTAGATAAAGACTTAATTTTTTTTTCTAATAAACTTTTGCAAGAATTGCACACCACCCACTTTGAATACCAAGAGCCGCCACTGATAATAACAATAAATTGTACAGTAAAATTCTTATTTTGCTATTTTAGTAGTATTAGTTTTATGCGTAATATGGATTAAGTGCTCATACCCCAATATAGTTTGTGTTTTTAATGTTACAATATAGTGATTGAAAACAAATTTATAATCTATTAATCTAATGTTTTACATAAGTAATATTAAATTATCTAGATAAAATAAAAGATAATTAATTTTTTCTAGATAATTCTTAATATTACAGTTTTATACATCGGTGATTTGATGAACGATCTTATGAATCTCATTAAATAATGAATGATTAACTAAGTTTTATTCGGCACCATTGAAAGTATTATTGCCAAATATTAAATCAAACGGTCTTGTGAAAGGCTCTTGATTCCACTTTCTAATAACCAGTCTATTATATCTTAATCCGTAATAACTACCAACCATAGTTGGATTAATAAACATTAATTCATGATTTAGGGACAATATTATTATGTATATCGCTGTGATTACCGTATTTTATGATAGATAGGTTCTGATCATAAATCATTTACAACAGTGATTCGTAACGTAGGCGATACTGCTTTAGAGGGCTTTTTCTAGTTTTGAGGGGGGCTTTTTACTCAAGAGGGTGCTATGGGGAGCGATACTACTGTGGACTGTGACTTTCATTCACTTCAACAAATTCTGACGAAATCAAGAAATCGGTTAGACATATCTGAGAAGGAAAATTTAAAACTGATGCTGACATCCATAGAGCCAGATATTATTTTATTAAAAGGAAATCAACCTCAAACCTCAAGGTATATATTATATTTATATGATTTGTATGTTTTTAATAGATTTAAGAATTAAGTACATAAAAATAAAAATTGTGTATAGGGTTTTGTTTTTTAGTTTAATTAAATGGCTGATTATAAAAATAAAACTATAAATTTTTGTCCGGGGGAGAGGGAGGGGTGAGACTTTTGAAAATCTAAAAGGGGTGTTGAGTAAAAAAAGGTTGGTAATCACTGATTTGCAGAGCATGAATACAATATTGAATATATCTCTATATTATATTCTTTTTGTTTTCAACAAATAGTCGAGTTAATTGTGAAAGAGTCCACGAAGACTTAGCTAACAACATTTTAAAGTTCAGTACTTACATTGATTTTATTTACATAGGTACATGTATTTTAGTAATAATAACAAATTAACTTGAAATGATGATTTAGCATTATCATCCCGAGTACTGAGTAGCATAAACAATTACAAATTATTAAATCATCACTTTTTTTTTATGTAATCTAGCATTAGACCAATAGGCAAAATACCTTATGATAAATAAATATATATATTATATATATACAATGTATGTGTAAAAACCACAGAGAGAAAGTGTTAAATATGACCTAAGGTTCTGACGTTCTGTAATTTTAATGAAGATAATGTCGTACATAATAAATTATCGAAATGTTACTGCAATAAGAAAATATCAACATAATAATATTTAATAGGTAGTTTGCAAAAAGTTAATAATGCCTGCACGCGTTACATATTAAATTATTAGAAAAATAGTGAGTATGACGAGTAGTTAGTCGCGGAAAGCAGTAACACAACGAAGCGTTTCCCGTCGTCCGTTCGAATCGATAATGGGAAATGTCGGTGGAAATGATACGTCGCATAACCGAAATTCCTCTGCCGCGCATACCTACATAATTATACTAAAAATGGGACACCTCAATCGGGTGCAGACAGTATGTAGAATAATTGAATACGATACGGAGCATTATTATCACTGACCTATCGTGTGCGAAGACCTTTTGCTGTCCGTCGAAACAGCGGTTGTCCGACACCAAGTCCAGTTGCTGCTTCATGTCGTCGGACCGCTGGCGTTTGATGCACGTACGAACGACAAAAATCCTAGTGCGATACTGCGACCGTACGCGCCGCTAATACTCAACTACGCGAATCGGACATGTACACACCGCGCCACTGACTGAGACCGACTGAACCCCCGACGGTCGACAGGCGACAACGCGACGGGCCGAATGCCGACATCGTCGTCGGGCAGCACCGGCGCTAGGTAGATACGTACAACGCCAGTACGTCAGCTGACGGCGATATTATTATCTTCGTTCATGGTGCAAATTAATTATTCATCTTATCCAAGGCCGCGGCGTGAACTATCCGCGCGAGATAACGTCATGTCGCACGTTGTTGTAGATTATCATACGTATTTCATCGCTACATCGTTTACAATAAAATTACTACCTAAGTATCAACAGCTAACAGTTATCTACAGCTACCAACTTGAACGGGCCCGACGCGGGTTTTTGAAGCGTGCCCCTTTTTGGCTACCTATCGGTTATTGTTCATCGCACGATCATGATCCTGCACTGGATCCAGTGATTCCAGTGTTTTGCCATCTGTGCCTCGACCGGTGTGGTCGACAAACGAGCCTATCGTTCATTCGTTTTTGTCAAAACTGACAAAACTTATTGACGAGCCGAATATCGACTCACCTGTCCTAATGAACAAATTCAATTTTAAAATCCTGTTTATTTTCACACGTAGGTAGTGTCTTCCGTTTCTGTGTCAATTTTACTTCTATGAATTATTTGCGATTTTGCGAAACAGTCGTCTTTTACGAATAACGAGGAGTCGTCGGTCCAATTGAGAGACTAAACCAGTTTCCGCACTATGAAGTGAACAAATCTGGGCAGTTACTAATTAAGTTAGTTTTAATGTATATTAATTATGTAACTAGTTGAATTTAATCTGTAAAATAATCTAATCTAACTCGTTAAAACCAATATGTTACTAGTTATTTTTTCAGATAATAATGTATTAATAAATATGATTACTATTGCGTATTTTTAAATTTTTTTTGTCATCATTTCTTATCAATTCTTTACATTAGTATTTCTTGTAATACACGGTTTATTAGTACCTACTTACTTACTTAAAAATGTAATCAATATCAATTGTTCAATTTAATCTTTAATTTATCCACAATTTAGTTCAAGGTTGTACCTAATTTTTAACTAATTTATGTAATACATTAAATTTGAAAAAAACGAGTTTTATAAATTTATATTTTAAATATAACATTTTCTTAAAAAAAAAAAACTAACTTCTAACTTCTACTCTAACTTGGTTAGTTTTTATATTAACGTAAATTAATTTTAACTAGTTAAAAAAAATAACTAGTTAGTCCAGCTTTGGAAATGAACATTACTTTATTGATGTTTTTATGATTTACGCTGTTATATACTTAAGCTGTAAGATTAATATTTAAAATTTATATTGGACCTGTCCTGTTTTATAATAGTAAATAATCACATATCAGTAGATTTTTAGGTTTTTAAGAGTTTAAAATATGATTCGTATTAGAATGCTTTAAAAACCTTTTTGAATGTTTTAAACATCTGAATACAAGACATTACAATAAGAAAAATTATATGTATAATGTATGTACATTATGTTATTATTTATACTAAAATTATGAAAAATAATATATAATATAATAAATTATAATTAAACATATAGGTACATTTATAATATCTACATTTACCATTCATTAATTACTCGTCATTTAATAATAATTAATAATATGCTTTAATTTGAAAATAATTATTTATTGTTACACACTTTTTCACTAGTAAATTATTTAAATTTAGTCACATTTTAAGTAATTACGTGATTTTCATTTTAATTATAAACTAGTTCTTGGACAATTTCCATCATTTTTAATTTTTTAATTAATAACTTTTTTTTCCTCAATGAAATAATTATAACTCGATAAATTTATTATGATTCAAATAATATGTTCACAAACATTATATTAAAATATGAAAATAAAAAAATATTTTCTAATCTCTAAAATGTACTTTAATGCATAAAATAATACAATTTGTAAAACACTTTTAATACATTTTTTAATGGATAAATCATCCATGTTCTTACTATCGTGGCTCTGTTGAATTGCATAATTAATTAAATATATGTAAAAATCTTTAAGTTTTCTATTTATTGAAAACGTCAATACTTAATACGCGCTATAGCTACTAGCTGGACGTGCAGTGGTGCCACAACGACAAACGATGAGAATGTAAATGTATATTTTTTTGAATGATTTACCGTTCTCGTGGAATACGATATCTTAATGATATATTATTATGCTACTGTTACCAATGCCACCACTTTTGACCTCAAATAATAGACTTACTAGTATCACTAGTATCAGTATTCAGTAGTATCGTTGTCAACGAAGTATACGATCACGGATCAATACGGCTTTCATATTATTTAACATAAATTTATTAAAAAATAATAATAATGTTTTGACGATCGATGATCATTTATAAATCACATGTCATACTGGGCAAATGTAAACTGGGTCAGCCCGCGATTACCTTTTTAGTTGTAAACTCAGCTTGGAAATTTTAAGTAGTAAAATTGTAAAATTAGTCGATTGTAAACGCGGCCTGGAAATTTTAAGTAATAAAAAGATCGGCTGTAAGCTTCACCCGATAATTTTAACCTATAAATTTTAAAATCACGGCATAATTTAATTTAATAATAATAATTAATAAATAACGTTTCTATATATCTTATCGTGAACAATTCGTTAAAATATATTTAAGCATTGAGACAAACAATTTCATTTTCATATTAGAATTTTTTTTTTTTTTTTTTTTATTAAAATAGAAAAATTTACAATCTGTAACTTGTACAATAAGCAAATAGGATATTGTATAGAAAATATTTACAAGGCGACATAGTATGAGAAGGAGGCTGTTCAGTGCGACAGAATCCTCAGCGACATATTATGGTCAGGGGTTAAGTGAATCCTTGCACCATCTTCTTTTTAACTGTTGGGCGAGATTATTTGGTTGGTTGGCTCAGCGGCTCAGCCTTTATTAGCTATAAGTGGGTTGGTGTTGGTGGCTAATTTAAAGTGAAATTTGTTGTTGTAGTTGAATGCGATTGTGGTAATGGTTTCAATATTGAGGTCATTTTAGAGTGAGTTTTTAGAAATATATCGGGGTGCAAAAGTTAGTAAACGAAGAGTAATTGATTGAAATTTTTGAATTGTTTTTGTTTGTATTGGTTTGACGCAGCCCCATATCTGTATTTCGTAAGCCTAAATGGACCTTAACATTGACTTATAAATAATTATTTTATTGATAAGAGAAAGATTTGATTTAAGTAAAGGACGGAGGAAGTGTAGTTTACTGTTGGGCTTTTTCTTTGTTGCTTTTAAGAGTTGGCCCCAGGTGAAACGTTTGTAATTTTTATTAGAATTTTGAAACGACGTTTCAGTACTTAGTGTTTATCTTACCTACATAACCGAAAAGATGGCACGCATAATTTAGTTCTAATGTGTACCACTGTACAACCACTGTTAGTTTTAGGAAATTTTAAATATTCTAAAGTAAATTGTATATTAGCTTCAAGAGAAATAAAGAGGCGATAAATAAACCGAAAATGTATAGCGTTTATAAAAACATTTAAAATTAATAAAAATATTATTAGGAATAAAAATAAAGATCATGACCATAAATCTATCTGCAGAGACAAAGTACCACTCCTACAGTCGTACAATGACAATGTGTTACCACTTATCACCGTGGCCAAACGCAAAATAACAGAAGATGTCTACACTAGGCCAAAAAATAACTTTTTTAGTCTAATAACTATAATGTACCCGAGTCCTGATGCACAAGATCTGTAATTAAATGATATTCGATATATGTTTAAAGGAATATGTATAACATAAGATATTAGAAAGTATAAAAATATTTACAAATAATATTTGAAATAATTTTTTAATTGGTTAACAAGGAAGTTACCTAACTGTTATTGTTTATGATACAAGAAAGTTATTATTTTTTAATTTTTCAATGTTATTTACATATTTAAGTACTTTTATAAGACTTATACTGTTAATACTTTATAAATTATAAGACTTATTTAGTTTTTTAATTAATAAACAAGAATGTTTTTATTTTTTTTATATGTTAAAATTCACTTACCAGGTACAAAATATATTTGTTAAATTCAGAAAATTGTCTAGAATTTTTTAAAAATTTAAAATAGTGCCCCAAGTTGGTTTAAGTAAATTATAAAATAGGTTATTCATAAGAAAAACATGAATGCCCCATGTTGCCATATTCGGTACAACATGGGGCAAGTAGAAAAATAAAAAAAAAACATAGAAGAAATTATTTGCATGGTTCAAATGCAACAGACATTAATAAAACAAACCTTAACTAAAAAAAAATGTTACATTGAAAATACCTCTAGATTAATTAATCTTTAAGTTATTTACAATAAAATGTAAAAACTGCCCCAAGTTGGCCCGTTTATATATTGTATAATATTCTCATTGGTATCTTCATTAATCATTTATAAAGTCATATCACTCATATCCCCCCCCCCCCCATGACAAAAACCTAAATACGCCACTACATTGTAATACCAGTTACAAGTTGTTCTAGTAAACGGGTATATTCCAAAATTCTAAATAAACAATATTAAAATATAAATTAAAGAATACTATACATCAAGACCTACTTAATAGTTAATTAATAATTATTAATGTTGGCTGAACCAAAACTAACATCTTGTATTAATATTGACGAGTTCAAAATAGCATGGAAAATAGAAGAATTTATTTATAATTATTTAATTAAAATTATTACATAATTAAGTTTATATAATATCATAGTATGTATATACAATTTTAAATTAAGTTTTTTTAAATTCTAGGTATAGTGTTTTATTTTTTTTTTATGCATAATTGTATTTATATAATTTTATTTTTAACTTCAATGATAAATATCAAGAAATTAGCATATTAAAGTTGTGTGCACATACTACTTGATTCTATTTACACAGTTTTTAATTTACAATTAGAATGTACATTAATA